GAAATGGACACGGGGAGGGAGCGCCTGTCACCACTGTATGGCAACACTCTCACAAGTCCCGCCACCTCAGCACTCCACGCAAGGGAGGGGCATAAAGGTACTCCGACTGGGAAGGAAGACATACCCCTGTCCTTACCTATGGATGATGTGATTCTCTGTGCTGAAAGTCTAAATCAATCTACTGATAATTAGAATATCTGAGTGTAGCAAGGTTGCTGGGCACAAAACCAAGAATGAAAAGTAAATTGTTTTCCAAAAATTACAAAAAATAAGCTATTCATAATAGTGCTAAAAACTATCATATGGCTTCAAATATATCTACTAAAATATATGCAAATTCCTACACATAAAATGTAACACCTTGTTAAGAAAAATTTTAAAAAATCTAAACATTTAAGACTAGAAATAGTAGCATAAAAACATCAAGTCTTCCCAATTTGACCCACATAATCAGTGCAATAGCAGAGAAAACCCCAAAAAGTCTGTGGATAGCAACAAATGATTGTAAAATTTCAATGAAAAATGAAAGTGCCAAACCAGGAAGGATTTGTACTGCTGGGCAGAGCCCCGCGCCCAAGCTGCAGTAATTAAAACCACGTGGTACCGATGTGCAAGGACAGCACGGGGCCAGCGTCACCTGGCTGACAAGGCATGTGGACACAGGCACGTGCACCTCTACCTCACCGGGAGAGGTACGGGTGCAGGCTCGGCTGCTCATCTGCACAGGGAGACCCTGCTTCAGCCCCGTGCCCCACCGTGTCCACAGGAATTCCCCACAGAACACAAGGGAGCCCTGGTGAGTGGGAAGCAGTACAGCTGCCCCAAGGGCAAGACAAAGTGTGTTCATGATTTTCTGTCTTCCTTTTTGTTCTTTTTGATATTGGGCATTGAAGCCAGGGCATTTACACCGAGCTGTATCCTCAGCCCTTTTTCACTTTTTTATTCTGAGACAGAGTCTCGCTTAGGTCCCCAGATGGGACTAGAACTTCTGATTCTCCTGCCTCAGCCTCCCAGAGTCCTTGGATTACAGGCACGCTCCAGGTTTCTTGAACCCAACACAAGCACACAGAGGTGAACACTGAGAAATCAGGCCACACTAGAGCAAGAATATGTTTTCTGCTTCCACCATTAAGACAGTGAAAGGCACAGCCCGTAGTGGAGAGAAGAGGCTCACAACACATAGCTGACAAAGGGCTGGACTCCAGGAGACAAGAAACTCAGCTCCAAATCGAGGCAAGGGGAGACAGCTCAGCCGAAAAATGGGCAAGAGACCTGAATGACACCAGAAAAAGGGAACATCCATGAGGCCACAGCGCGTAAAGACACGCTGCATCTCACTGGTACGAGGGAAGCGAAGCTGCAGGCGCCAGCAGGGATGCCACACCACTGCATTTTTGGGAAGCAGAGCTTGAGTCTGGCGCCTTAGACCACTCGGCCATCCTGACACCAACCACTGCATTTTCAAGGACCCACACAGCAGGTGCTGGTGAGGACGGGCAACGGGAACCCTCCTGCAGGCCTGGCAGGAGCAGAGCTGGTGACAACTGCTCTGCGAACTGAGGCACGGTGCATGAAGGATAAAGACATGTGTGCCCTGAGGCTCAGTAGTTCCTCCTCACGAGTGTCCACTCCTGGCACAAAGTGCTCCAGCATGGAACCCGGCCAAACACCCACCAGCGATAGAAAGGTGACTCCACTGTGCACCCAGGAATGCAACAGGAACTCTTGCTAGATATGGAACGCTATGAATTTCACAAGCTTACTGGTGAATGAAAGAAGCAAGACACAAAAGCTTGCATGTTAATTGTTCCATACATTTCCCTGTCCTAGGGGTCAGGAGCAGAGTGACCTTTAGGAAGAAAAGAGAGGTCTGGTGACTGCAGATGCCTTGGTGCTGGGTGCTTTGCTGGGTGGAGATTACATGGGTGCGGATTTGTTAATTCCCTATAGCTCCCCATACACTAAAGATTATGCACCTTCCTGTGCACACGTATCACACCCCAAATAAACACAAACAACTTGGAGTAACCGACTTCATAAGAATGCATTAAGCATCAGCATCTTATGTTGCTGTGCATTACTGCAGGTTAGCATTTTGATGAAAGCTTGGTAAAATGATCTGCCTACATGCCTGGCCATTTTCACTATCTGAAGAGGGATTTCTGAGGTTTGTCGCATGTTGAACCCCAAGTAACAAGTGCCTCCTGGGAGAGACAACTCCCCATCACCTGCTGGTTGTGCATCAGCAGAGCAGTGACATGGCAAGGGGCAGGCAACTCCCCCACTGGACCCCACGTGTACCCCCCACTGGCTGCAAGAGCAACCCTGGCTCCCACGCTGGATTGAAAATTCTGGCTGACGATGACCGAAGACTGGTGAATGTCACCTCCAGCCTGCTCCTCCCACGGACCTTCCACTCGCAGGCAGACCATGGAGCACCCACCACCCACAGGCTCAGTTCATGAGGTCGGCAGGTCCCGGCCCCCACATAACATGCTGAGAAGCAGAGCGTCCTTGCCCTTCCCCACCTCTCCCCTGGGTCCCAGGGACAGCCCTGCAGAGCCCGCTCTGCTCTGCCACCAGCATAGCGGCCAGGGTGGGTCCTAGGAAAGGGAGTCTGACCCCTCACTCCTGCTCTGGGCTCTGCTCCATCTCAGAGGAAAAGCCCCCTGCTCCTGCAATGACCCTGGGCCTACTGTCCTGTGTCAACCATGTGGCAAGGCCCTCCTTAGGGTCATTGCGCCTCCTGCCCCTGCAGTCTGTTCTTGGGCTAAGAGCCCCGCCCATGCCCCCCTCTCCATTTCCTGGGGAGCAAACTGCTGCTGGCTTAAACTTAAACAGGTGCAAGCCGCACAGGCAACAGTCTTGCTCCAGCTGGTGGGAGGGTCTTTCAATGGGCCAACTGGCTGGGTTCATCCTGTCATTCAACCAAATGCGCATTAGGTGCCACAAGGAAGGTGCTCTGCATGTGACTAACGTGGAGACAACCTCGATTTAAGGTCCCCTGTGTCAGCTTGCCTCTCCAGGGCTCAGGCTCTGTGCTACGACAAAGAAATCCCCTGTGGGCAGCAGGTGGAGAGTTCCTGCCCGCTCATGCTGCAGGCCTGACGATCTGAGGCCTGTTCATGTGAGGGCCTGCCATCCCAGGGCCTGCTGCAGATTCCAGACTTGCCTCACCAGCCCTGCATCGAGGAGGGCAGGTCCCCTCAGTGAACCTTCGCATCTGTCTTTGTTGCTCTTCCTTGGCTGGACTGGACCAGTGGTCTGCAGGGCAGGCTGATGCACGTCCTTTGGGTGGCACACAGCACCCTCCCAAGAGCCACTTTTGGGAGCACACAAAGGGAAGCACCCGGAGAACAGGGAAGCAGAGTACGACAGTCACTACAGATGCACACCTGTGGAAATGGGTGAGTGACAGCACATCTGCCCCGTGTCACATGGATGAGTGCCAGGAGGAAGAGGGACGCCGAGAGCCTGCTGCACAAGAACACCTGTTCTGTGGCCCATGGGCACGAAGCTAAGTGCAGTAAAGTGAAAGACAGTGTTGCAGGCTCCAAGAAGACCACCTGTAATGAAAGCTTGTAAGACGCAGGAGGCTGGGAATGGGGGAGGCGCTGGGTCAGGGTGGCCTTGCAGGACCCTCACAGGGAACCTGAGCATCTTTTTGTTAAACTGTCAGGCAAATGCCAGTGACTTTATGTCCCCATATGCCTGACATGTACTTTATAAATGCTATTATTTATATGTTCAATGCTAAGAATTTTGAAGGGTCAAGTTCTCAGAAAGCTGTACGCATTCAGTAAGTTGAAGACATTTTTCCTAAGAATAGCCAGAGGACTGGGAGGTATTAATATCTTCTCAGTGAGCAGCACAGCACCGAGGACACATAGGTGTGTATGTCCCTGCAGGTGCCTGGGTCACAGGACCCCTGAGGGGCTCTGCAGACTGAGGAGCGGCCAGTCCTCCTTCAGATAGAGGGGCTATATGAAGACTTCAGTTCCTACTGTTCCTAGCTGGAGCCCCCTCAAACGAGGGCAATGTTGCATCTTGACCTTTTCAGGGGGACAGCAGGACAAACAACTTGGACTGAGCAAAGCTATCCTGGGCCGAAATTCAGAGCCTGTGACCCACGGGTCCCTTACGCGGCCAAAGGTCCTGGGTGTGTCCTTTCAACAAGCTGTCAGCACACAGCACCCAAATGTGCCCAAGCCCAGGAGAATGGCTGGAGCAGACCCAGGGACATGGGGACAGCACCCTAAGGGTACTGGGGCTCAACAAGCCCGGTCCCCAGGAGCTCCAGCCCAGGGGGCTTGCAAGGGGGCGGCACGGCAACTGTTCCTGGGGTCACAGCCCCCAAGTATTCTCGAGGGGGAACAGCACACAGAATGGTCTCCTGCCTGTGTCCCGTGCTCGTCTCCCTTGCAAGGAGACCAAGCACGCTGCCTCTGCTCGGACACACACTGCCACAGTGCAAAGCGAGGCCGGGCCAAAACAGCAAATGAGAAAGTGAGCCGCTGGCCCCTGCTTGGGCCTGCTCCAAAGCTGCGGGCCAGCCTTCAAGTGAACAGTTGCTTCTTAGAGCTCTCAGAAAAACATGTCTGAAAGTGCGGGGCAGACCTCGCGGATGAAATGCTCCGTGCGTCTGGCGTGTGTTGTGGATTTTAATGCCCCTTAAGTCTAGGAGGGGTCCCGCCAAGGAGTCTTTAAATGCTTCAGTCAAACCGACAGCCCTATCTGTGCCCCTGCTTTGGTGTGAATGCGGAGTCCGGCAGCCAGAGGTGACAAAGCCAGGGACTCTGGCTGGCCTGACTCCACTCGGCCAAGCCTTCAGCAGCACTGCAGAAATCCTCAGGGGCGGGAAGGGGCCTGAAACAGTCACACAGGGGTGCCTCCCCGGGCAGGGACCCGAAGAGCGGCTTCTGGGGAGCCAGCAGGGCCACTACCTCTCTGCCCCCCGCCGCCAGGCCCCCCGCGCCCGCCCCCCTGCCCCCCGCACTCACTCTCCTTGCCCTTCTCCTTGTTCTTGAGCTGCTGCAGCTTCTGCTCGCGGTGCTGCTTCTCCAGCTCCTGCTCCTGGCGGTGCCTCTCCAGCTTGCGCTGGTGCTCCAGCAGCTCCTGCTGGTGCTTGAGAGCCAGCATCTCCTGCTGCTGCTGCGGGCAGAGGGGACACGGGTGTCAGAGCCCGGGGACCTGCCTGCCACACTGGGGCCAGCGCCCGCCCATCAGCCCTGGTGCTCTGTACGTACCCCTAGGTCTCTCAGCCCGCGTGTCTGTCGTGGCCCAGAGCAGGAAGGAGTGCAGCTGAGGCCCCTCAACCTGCCACGCCACCAGAGGAGAGCAGAGGAGCAGCAGCCAGCCACCCTGCAGGCCAGGAGCCCCGAGGATGGGAACAGGTGTGGCTACTTGGGACAGCCACTGGGCACCTTCTCAGGGTGTGGGACACACCTGCCCCAAGACCTGCAGTCCCATCTTAGGTGGTCTCTGAGTGCCCACAGAGGAAGAGCCTGCACACACCTCCCCCACAGCCCTCTGGATGCAAGCAACCCAAGGAGACCACAGGGACACTGAGGGCATTCGCATGAGAGGCTGGCCTGCACAGACAGTAACTGCAGCACAGCACACAGACACAGACGCGTCACCAACAGGCACGCTCCATGGGGCCAGTGCTGGGTGAGGTGCGTGGGGAAGGGGAGGAGGCTTGGGTCCTGAGACTGTCTGTCTACCCCAACGGGTGAGGCCGTTTCAGAAGAAGGCTGCCCCTCGGGGTGAGGCAGGGAGGACTCGGGGAGGACGCATCCCGGATGACTGCCAGGGCGCACAGGGCCTCCCAGGGGAGGGTCTCTAGGTGGCTCACAGCTATCCACGCGCACACCCAAGAGCTGCACATCCTGTTGTGTGGATACTACATCTGATCGCCCCAAACATGACATGCTTGGAGACCCAAGAACTTCAATCATCACTATGACACATAACATTAAGATACAAAAGGTAACAGAAAGACGCTTTGGAGTATTTAGGATATACGGATAAATGAAACTCATAAATGGTTTCATCAACTTATAAGAATATGATAAATAACCCACTAAAGAGGCAAGCAAACAAAAGACGAATTCCCCAAAGCTGTCAAAACTGAATGGGAAAGATGTCCAAGCTCACTAGTCACCCACTCCCGTGTGCATATCATGCTCCACCAGGCGGCAGAGAACAACACTGCTGCCCAGCTCTGCCTCCAGCACCAGGACGTGGCCTCCCAGGGCCTCTGTCCCCTGTGGCAGGACCTGGCTGCCCACTCAGCTGGGTGCTGTCGCTCCCTATCGCTCTCTGTGCTTGCTCACAGCCGCGACTGCGATGGGGCTTTGCTGGTCTTGCTCCCTTGTACAAGGCAAAGGGTGTGGCAGGGAGCAGACCACAGGCAACCATCATGGCCCCAGGACCTTCTATGGAGGAAGCCAATGCACAAGCATCCTCCCCTCCTTTCAAGCCAAGCCTGGTGGTGGTGTACTCTTATATTCCCAGGACTCAAGGAGGCTGAGGCAGGACTCTAAGGTCTAAGTCTAGCACAGACAACTCAGCAGCTTAGCAAGACTTTATCTGAAAAAAAGGCTGGGGATGTAACTCAGTACAAAAAGCCCTGGGTTCAATCCCAGTATCACCACCAAAAAAATCCTTTCAGCCAGTCACAAAGTAGGGCACCAACCAAAACTGGCCAAGGGAAGAGCGGTAACAGCTAATGTCCTGAGGGCTCTACCAAGTGCTTTACACTTAAAGCTGAATCCTCACAAGGGCCTTAGGAGGTACTTACAAAGGAGGAAACTGAGGCACAGAGAGACAAAGTGCTGGCAGTGAGGGTCTTGGGAAGATGGACTGGCTCCAGAGGTGGCTTCTGCCCAGGTGAAGGAGACTGGCAGGGAGGAGTGGGTGTGCTCAGCAACCTAGCATGCTTGAGTATAAGCACACACGTGTGAGATGTGTGTGCACACAGTTGGGGAGCTGGCATGTTGGGAATGCAAGGCAGTGCATGTGAGGTCTGTGCATGTGCGTGTGTGAAGCAGCTGCCCTTCCTGGGGGACACCGGCCCTCGTAGACCGACTGTGTATCTGGGCTGACTGGGTGGGGTGATTCCTGGGTAAGGGGCCTGCGCTGACTGTTACCAGTGCTGTGCACCATGCCACACACACCGAGCCCGACTTGGAGTCATCTGGGTGCCAGCCGGCCAATGCGGCCAGGTCCTGCCCCAGGCCCTTGACACACACCTCTCAAAGCCCTTGCTTCCGGAGTCACGTCCTGGTCTGAGCCCTTCCCTGGCAGAAGGCCTGTAGGCAGATGAGGAGGGGCTGCCAGCAGGGCATCCGTTGGCTTCCTGACCCCATGTCCACGAGCCTTTGGTTACCCAGCTTCTGTGATCACCTTGAGCACCAGGTGGACAGGGAGCAGATTGTCCACAGCCTCCTCTGGTTAGAGACGCAAGACACTGCTTACCCAGCACTCTGTCTTCATGAATTTCAAGCCACATGACACCAACAATGAGAAGGAGAAATGGCAGTGACTGGGCTTTTAAAAAGTAAAGGTTCTCATTCTGACATTCCAAAAGTAAAGCCTACAGCCTAGGCATGAACATAGGTGTTGGCCAGTGAAATGACTTTTAGGAAAACAGAAGAAACTGGCAATAACAACAGATGAACAAAATCAACACAACTGCCAAGGTAGGTGTGCAGTGTATGGAAGGTTGTGCAGGAATCCCAAGGCCACAGCACCTTCCACGGACAACTTGGGGTGCTGGCAGCACCCCTCTAGCCCTAGCAGAGACTCCAGCTCTGGCCTCCCCAGCCTGCCTGGGCTGTGTCCTTGCAGCCTGCAGAGCTGGCCTCCTGGAATCACTGCCCCCTGGTCAAGCCAGTGGCCTGATGCGCAGCCCCAGAGCAGGCGCTGGAAGCCCAAGGTCAGCACGCATCAGCAGGACCTTGGGCCCGGCCAGAGCTGTCCATCACAGGGATGGTCATACACAGAAAGGACCGACTGGCAGCACAAGCTCCTTGAGAAAGTGAGCCAGGTCCACGGCACTTCCCCACGGCCTTCCCTTCATCAGGGCAGGACAACAGGGACAGAGTGGCTGCAGCGGGTATAGGCAGAGGCTGGGCCCAGGCAGGGTAGGCCCATGTAAAGCCCAGAGCAGCACCCTCCCCTGCAAATGCTGCTTCTGTAGGCAGTGGGCCCAGCCTGGGCAGGAGCAGAAGGGGGCATCGGGCTTGACTGGCCATGGAGAGCGTGCTGGGCACCTATGGCCCACTCCATTCACTGGTCACGCAGCAGGGTTCCCAGTGGCTCCAGGGTGCAGGCTCCACTCTGTCCCTCGATATGGGGAAAGCCTGTGCCATGAGGACAGACTCCGGGCTACGGAAATGGGACTGGGCGACATGCTGACTGTTAGGAAACATCCACAGTTATCTGCACCTATTATCTCGCGAACACGTGCAAGGGTGAAGCCATCCCATGAGGAAGAGAAGTGCTGAGAAGCTATCTTTTGCAGACTAAAACTACGATGAGCAATTTAAAATAAGATGACCTAATTTTTCCAAGAAAACAAAACAAAAACAGAACCAGTAAAAGCAGATCCCATTATTCTAACTAGACTTTAACATCAAGCCCACTTGTAAGCCTAACTGAGCTGTGAAGCACATCAAATCTCCAGGATTGAGCTCCTTTGACTGATTTTGCAAATTAGTAGATAGATATTCAAATGGAAACCCAACTAGAGTTTAAAAAGTCAAATAAAATCCCATTGTGCTAAAAGGACTGAAGTTGGGGACAAGTAGCTTTCACAGTCCTGGGAGAGAGAGAGGGAGAAAGAGAGGGGAGAGGGGGAGAACACTTTCTGGCCTGCAGAGAGCTCTCTCAGATGCCCTGCATGAGCTCCCGTTTGCCCTAAAGATTCCCACTGACTGAACATCCGAAAGGTCACAGTCGGGTTTGGTGAGAGCACTTTACCACCATCACACTTCGTTAAGACAAGCGCTGGCCAGTGCCATCGGACACCAGCCTCTCCAGCCTGGGGTCTGCAAACAGTGGAGGACACGTCCATCTAGGAAGTCAAGTGCCCTGGACCTCACAGGCACCTTATGACCCACACACTCCCTGGGCCAGGCACCACAGGTACCTGCATTTGAGCCTGGGGCTGTGTGTCCTGGAGCCACATGTGCCTGGGCATCCTGAGGGTCACAGCCAGGTTTCAGAGGCTACAGATACTTAAGGGCCACACACTCCTGGGTTCCAACAGTGGCAGAGTCCTTGTAACAGCAGCCTTCTTTTTAAAGCCAAGATTCTTTTTCTGACTGTAAGTGGTAGCAAATGTGCAAATAAGAATAACATGGAAAACTGTCCCTATTCCATGACTTAATAGTTTGGTCATAAAATTCAATCTATACTTAAAATCAAACCCCAAGCCAACCATGAGTATTTTCTTATCTCCTGTACCCTAGCTGGCCTCAACAGAAACAGCGCCAAGTGAGATTGCATTAACCACCCAGCATACGCTGTGGAAGCTGCCCTTGCACTACTGCTCAGGACTAATGTCCCTGACTTACTCTGGGGCCAAGGCCCAACCTCTTCTTCAGTCCCTTCCCAGGGTGTGGACAGTGATGCTGCTGCCCGCCTCCTGAAGCAAGCACACCTGCAGAAGTGTTTGCCGTGCTGCTCAGCATGGTGCCTGGTGTATAGTGAAGGGCCCCTTTGCCTTTCCTGTTTCTCTTCTCTGACTTGCCAGCCTGGTGAGACATCGTGACAAACATGCAGTGCATAGGATCTCAGCCTTCAGGTGAGGCCAGCTAGGGCAGAGCAGCAGCACCTGTGACCCCTGTGGGCACAAGGCCCACATGCCTACCCCACCCTCCATGTGACCCAGTGCCCGAGCTGGCCAGGAAGAGGTCCCCTGTCCCCTCTTAATAATTCACAGACTTCTGCCATACTGGAGCACAGGCCCTTAGCAAGGGTACAGCCCACGCCTGCCCACAGCAGCCTTACCCTGGCAGGGAGCTTGCTGTCCCCAAGGCCTCCTGACCCACACAAGGCCCCACTCCTCTCATCTTGGATGCAGACTCATAGCTGCCTTTGCTTCCTGTTGCGATCCCTTACTTTCAAACAGTAATCTGAGAATA